TCCTCTTCCTCATCCTCTTCCTCCTCCTCGTCCTCCTCTTCCTCCTCCCTCTCGTCCTCCTCCTCTTCCTCCTCCTCCTTCTCGTCCTCTTCCTCCTCGTCCTCCTCCTCCCCCTCTTCCTCCTCGTCCTCCTCCCCCTCCTCCTCCTCCTCTTCCTCCTCCTCCTCGATATATTTCAGGATTTTCTCAAACAGGAAGCTGAGCCACTGAAGTCAAACAGACCCTTTGATCACAGAGTTTGTTGCTCTCGTTTGTTCGACGGTTCCAAGTTCAAACTCGCGCCTGAGAATCGGCGCCCTGATGGCGCTCGGTCTGCCGCTGTGTTGAGTTTATTACAGATTGATCTAACGTCGTGTCGCAGCTTGTTTGCATTTGTCTCTGAGTGTCAATAAATCAGCTGTTAAAGACTCGTGCTAGCACGCCACTTCCAGAATAAACATGTGATCGGAGAGAGTGAGGAGCCGCTGCCATCTGCCGCCTTCACGTCTGAGCAGTTTCCTCATCGTCTGAAACTGATGTGGCTGATGTGGCGAGCACGTGTCTGTCAGCTCTGTGTGGTCCCGCTCGCCTGCTGCTTTCCGATCAGCCTCATCCTGACTGGTTGGAAAAGATGGACACTGTTACGTCCCCTGTCGGTTTCTGTGGTCCGTGTAAAGCCAGGCTCATAGCTGAGGCCAGACGGGGGGCCGTACTCCATCAGCACCGAGGATCGTTTGTGGTCTGTAGGAGGCGCTGATGGGAGAAGCGCTCCATCAGCAGCCGGGTCACTCAGTTTTGTCTCTAATGAAAAGCAGCAGCAGCGTTTGAACCCTACGACTCATTCAATTAGCGCGCTTTAACGAGCTCGCCGTCAGCCGGCGCTCGCCGTGACAGAGAGGCGTTTCATGCGTTTGGTTCCAGCTGTTTCATGTGAATATCTGCAGGCTGCAGCTGTAATGAAACATTCAGAGGATCAAATGTTTGTGTCCCGCTCACTCTCACTCAGGCTAATCGCTAATAATGAGCTCTAATTGAGACGAATGAAACCGGCTTTAATGGAGCTGTTTCTGCTGCAGGCCAGTGGGCGGGGCCATGATGAAGCGCAACAGGTGATCTTCAGTTTACCTGTTTGTGTGTGTGCAGGCAATCATCTATGAAGGCCAGGACAAAAACCCGGAGATGTGCCGAGTTCTGCTGACGCACGAGATCATGTGCAGGTAAGGCCGCGAAACACCGACCAGATCTGAGTAGTTCTTCTTCTCTGCTTCAAATAAAAGTCTCGATGTTTGAGAGCAGTATCCTCACGTCCACGGTGACTCGTGCCCTGATGGAGCCTGTTCCCTGCATACAGAGTGGGCGTGTGCAGGTGTCTCACCTGAGCTGTCTGAAAGAAATACGAGGCTCTGCAGTGACTGACGGGTCTGCTTTCATTTTTGTCTCTCTGTGTGCGTGTCAGCCGCTGCTGCGATAAGAAGAGCTGTGGAAACAGGAACGAGACGCCGTCAGACCCCGTCATCATCGACAGGTAACAGATACGAAGCATCACGCACTCACATACACCTGTCAGACTGTTTGTGCGCTCGCAAACAAACATGCAGCAGATGCAAGAAAGACAAACAGACACCGATGACACGCGGCGCATTCCTGTCAGCCTTGTCACGTACGTTTAAAGGTTGTCTTCTGCCCGAGCGGCAGATTCTCGATCAGTCGCCAGAGAGCACCAGCCGAGTCACAGACACAGGAGGAGCTGCAGGTTGAATAGCGCCCCCTGCGTGAAGGTTTTTAGCAGGATGTGATGAAAGGCGTCAGCTGATCTGCTGCGTTCAGGTGACTCTGTTGATCCACCTGCTGGTTTCGTATCTGGATGAAGAGGCGGTTTGGTGCCACACACAGTGAGAAACAGCAGACTGGTTGTGTTTGTTTATTGGTCAGTTACCTTTGCCAGGCTCAGGTTAGCATACCTGTAGTGACATCACAGCAGCACAGTATGAATGAAGCTTGTTGTGTCACACAGTAAGGTTCATGCTGGCGTTCCTCAGGGTTTCGTCCAATCATGTTTCCATGTGGCAGATGGCCCCGCCCCTCCCTGAGCCTGGTTCTGCTGGAGGTTCCTTCTTGTTAAAAGGGAGTTTTTCCTTCCCACTGTCGCCAAAGTGCTGCTCATTGTTGTTGGGGCTTTACCTTACAGTGTAAAGCCCCCTGAGGTGACTGTTGGTGCCACATCAATAAAAGTGAAGTGAGCTGTGACACGAACGTGCTGATTATGTGCGGTGGGAGCGTGATTCACGCTGAGTAGCTCTGTGAATTTAAGGGCTAATGAAAGGTGAACATTAAATGCAGCTCGGCTTTAAATCATTCAAACAGGATGACGTGTAGAGCTACTGGGCTGATGTGGTTGAGCCTGCGCCTCCTCTTCATCCTCCTCTCAGATTCCTCCCCCTCCCCTCCTTCCTGGCCTCCCATGAGGAATCATACGCTATGCTCTTCTCTTTTCACCTCCCCCTCCTCTTCCTCCTTCTCCTCAGCTCTTGTCCTCCTCCTGAGTATTAATCTCAATCCTCCCTCCCCCTCTCCCCTGTGGACGGAGGAGGGGGGAGTATGGATGGATGGAGGGATGGATGTGACTGCAGCAGCTCTTTGAAAAGAGAAGTGGAGATTTTTACAGCAGCTCTTTTTTCTCCCTCTGCCAGCTGAAATGCATGATGGGAAGGTCTCCTGTGTTTTTGGCGGCGTCCAGTGAACAGGAAACATGTCAGGGTCAGACTGCAGAGAGAGCACAAACACTGCGATTCGTTCGCTCTCACTTCAAGAAAACTAACACAACAGCATTTCATTTCTTCTCCTTCACTCCAGAACCCACCGCTGGTTTCTGTCAGCATGTCGACCTGAACTGAATTAAAAGCTGAACGCAGCTTTAAAGATAAGCATTAATTTACAAGGCGCATAAACAGTGCACAAAAGTGCAAGAAAGGAGCATCAAAAATGAACTGTGAGGAGGCAGAAAAGAGAAATGCACCAAAAAACCGACAGGTGAACGGAGTGAGCGCAGGGTGGGCCGTCACAAAGGAAAGGAAGACAAAGACAGGAAGTAAAGCCAGCAGACACGCAGACGGAAGATGCAGGATGCAGCCACGGGTTTAAAGTCTTTGAACACGCACAGATTTTTGGCTCATTAAAGGTTAGACAATGTACTTGAATAAATTAATCTCTTCCTTTCATTTCCAGCTTCCATTTTTAAGCAAACATTTAAAATATATATAAAAAATATCTTAAATGTGGATCATACTGCTTTTAGTTTATTAGGACTCTGCATACAGGACAGAAGCTGGACAACAACAACAATAACAATAAAACATATGCAGGAATTTTACAGCTGCTTTGTTTAACACGTTCTTTCCACCAACTGTAACTCCTTCTTCACTCGTACGTGTGCGCACAGAAATGCTGTGTAAAATAAAGATGATTTAAAAGGACTATCCGGTTGTTAAGTGATGACGTGACGAATCCTACTTCCGGGTCTAAAGTAG